CGCGTATACATTTGTACCGGCTGATTCAAAATTCCAGGTCAATAAAGAGTATGGAACGCTGCGGTGGTTGTAAAAATTCTTGTTTTCTACGTTTTGCTTAGCTTTCAATCTACTTAGATGGCCCTTTAGCGAGACCACTGGGAATTGTTTATTTGAAAAACTTCATTGAAGTAATATGGAAATGTAGCGATCAAATCTACACTTTCTTTTCTGTACAATTGTCTTCGACACATTCTTGGAATCTTCTTCGAATGTTTGTTTCTAGAGCACTTTTCTTTTGGTACTGCTACAATTTTCTGTCGGAGATGGAAATGAAAAGCTACACAACTTTGAATTCACCTTTTTCTTCCCTTATCTTGTACAGTTTCGTAGATATTCGTGGCAATTTTTTTGAGGGGGTGTTTTCATCGCAGAAACGCAAAATAGTTTCGTTGTTAGCGTCACTTGACCTACATTTCCGCGAAGTTTCAAATTTTGTCGGATACCGAAAATTCCCTGTTGAACCTATCAGTGTCAACATTATTTCGAAGCACCCTGTCACAGTAGGTACATTTCCTTGATCCGTACTTGTGAAACATCCAGTACATTACCTACATGCATGCCCGTATACCATGTAAGTACGCACGCGAGCAAAGTCTGAATTCCTATTCCTGTGTGCATACACGCGTCCGTCGTGGGGGGAAGTTACGACGTTCCCCGGCGTGTGTACTCGGCTTGAAGAGAGCCGGCTACCACCCCCGGCCCGTTGTTAGGGCGCGGAAAACAAATACGCGCGCCTCTGTCCGCAAAAGAGAGCGAGAAAGGCGCAGCCAGGACATAGAATCGCGGCGGCGGCGGCGAACACAGGGTCATAGAGGGTGATAGAGGGAGAGAGGGAGAGAGAGAGAGTGAGTTGGGTGAGAAACGGAAGGAATTGAAAGGGGGCAGAAGAGAAAGAGGGAAATTCAACACGTGCCTTCCTCCTCTCCGCGTTAGCTCTTTCCTATTCTTCTGCCTCGGCCAAAAGCTCCTCGAACTTCCAAGCGTTGCGAGCGTACTCCTCGCGGAACCCTCGAGAGTTCGTTTCTTTTTCTTGCCGCCCCTCCGTACCACCGCCAACCGCCCCTTCTCTACACTTGACTCGCTCGACAGTCAGAAAAGGAATTCTCTCCCTCTCTCTATCTTTCTCTCTTTCTCTGCTTAGAGGGTGGAGGCGGGGGGTGAGTTTGCGCTCGTAAAATCGACAGTTTCTCTCGTTTTTGATCTTTGGTTACAATGGATTAGAGGTCTCGTCGAGTGGCGAGTGCCTTGAACGATCGTCGTTGAACGTGAGCGTCGACGACGGGTTTGTAACGCGTGCCGATGATTTAAAGTGCCGCTATCCCTGAACGCTTAATGACGTCTCGTTGCTTAATGACGACCACGACGTGAACGTAGTCGGCGAACTACACGGTGACGACGACGTCGGCCAGGAGCCGGTCTTTGATCTGGCCCGCGTTCCGACAGAGAAAGGCCTTCGGTTCGCGTAATTGTTTTGGGTAAACTGAATGCGATGCTTTGATGCTGGGCTGCGCGACGCGAGCCTCGATTCACTACGCGTCCCCGTCCGTTAACGAGGCAAATCCAACCCCTCCTCGAGTTTTCCCGTCCTGGGCCTTAGTCGCCGCGAATCTCGATGAAACGTACATATTACGAACGATCATCCTCGCGATCCTTCGATTATTTATCTATGCTTGTTCCTTCGAAGATTCTCGTGGACGAGTTTGAAAGATCGCCGTTATCCTACGAGTTCAGATTTCGCGATACGGTTCGAGTATGCGAATTTTGGAATTGGAAAATGTTCGATGTCAATTGATTTTGGAAATATTCCCGCGGAGAAGAATTTCATTTTTCCATTGTCCTCGCAGCAGAGGCAAATTGTCATCGGCGGCAGGTATTTTTGCACAATTTTTATCGTGCTGTAAACACACATATTGACGTTGTGTCGCTTTGACAAACACCACGGTGTATCTCGAACGTTTGTTTGCGAAGAACAATTTTCAACGAACGTTCGGTATCGGTAAACATCGTTCGCTAAGAAAGTGTTATTGATCAGTGTTTGACTTTGCAACACCTTCACGAATCGTGTCCCAATCGGTTAATTTCGAATGTCAAGGTGGTCATTTGGATCTCGTAGGAGAAGTTTGAATGATACCGACTCAGAACCGCGACTCAGAGTTGTATTTGTGTTTCTTACACGGGGAGGGAAAAAAATAACGTTTAATATCGATAGAGAGGCGGACGGAGGGTTTCTAATATCGATACAAGTGTTACACGTGCGACATTTCGGAGGACGAAGGTAAACATACATATTGTTGATAATCTATCTTTTCATATCGGAACGGTACGAGAACTGTGCAAATACTATGGTTCACGATTATGATGTGTATTAATGGAGTAAGATAAATATTGCGCTCCCTTACGTTGTTTTGCTCTCTGGTGTCAACTTTTCCGCTCCTCGAAACGGGAAAATAGCATATTTTATCGGCATTTACCAAGAGTCCCGAGGTTTCATTTACGTATAGATTTTCAATGCTCTAAGCAGAAGAGTCTATCGAAGAGTTTGTACATACTTAATATTTTCAACTGCCTAAATTAATTGATATTTGTCGAGTGAGCAGCAGTTTGTTATATTTTCTTAATACCATCAATCAACACGTGCATGCAGTTATCTACAACTTCCAAAGAACAATAAGGTTCAGTTGGCTCGGAGGATCACTTGGCCCAGTGCCTCGACTTACCTCGTGAACTGAGTTGATTCAGTGGTCGACGTTAGTCTATGGATCGACTTCGTATAGAGTTTACTTGATCCAAGTGTCTACACAGTTTTAGGATGCCTAATTTAGGGACCAAGTCGACCTATTAAGATAAGTCGAAAAATTCGCTTCGAAACAATCGAGATAAATCACTCAAACCTACGATTTCCCCCCTTTTCCACATCTACGAATTCGACGTTCCACGAAATATAAATACATACGTTCAAACTAATCACCACCTCCTCGGTTAATTTTTAACCCGTGACGGCCTGTTTCTCTGGTTGCGGTTCGATCCATCGTATCCGGCCAATTCGATCGGCTTTGATCGTGCGCCACTCGACGCCTCGAGGGTGGCTGAGTGGCCAGCCCGAAGCGGCGCTAATCGAATCCACTTAAGAAGGGAACATGGGATAACGAGAAATTGCTTGGCTACGTACCGTTGTCGTTGCGTCTCCACGCGATCGAACCTTCGCCTACACAAAGAGCAACCACCGTTGGATCGAGGAACGAGGAGAAGAGCCAGAGAAGAGGAACGAAGTAGAAGAAGAAGAAGAAAAAAGAAGAAGGTGTCGCTTGTTCGTTCCCCAAGGGGATGATCTAAAGGCGCGTTTACATTGTGTTTGCACTAGGGGGGAGAGCAGAACGTGGCGGTGAACGCTTATCCCGCCACGAACGCAACAAAGGCACGTAATGAGAACATGTGTTGGATGCAGGAAGCTTCATTAGCAAACCTGTTCCTGTCCGCGAGGCCCATTGTGCCGACCTAGCTCTGTCTCTGCTGTTCTCTGCCGATACGGTGACGCGTTGCGTTCCGTTGCGTTGCGCGCGATTCTTTGCCCACTGCCACACCAGAGCCAGCCCAGTATTGCCGCCGGGTATTAGTTGCCGGCAGTAAACATGAATTCCTAATTGCGGAAATGGGCCCCGGCCGCCGCGCCGCCGCTCGATGATCGTTACCCTGGCTCGACCTGACACAATTGGGGGCGGGGGTGGTTGCTTCGAACCGCGTCGCGCCAAATACCCGATATATCCAGGCTTGCTTTCAGTTTAACGTCTCTCGAGAGACTCGTAGGCTGTCGCGAGGTCTGTTGGGATACTTTGCGATAAAGATGTGTCTAGCCTGGATCCCACGTGGAACTTAAGGAGTTTCTTACAGCCGTGGCTTTAGTACCATCCGCGCTGTTTTATGCGCCGGATATGTGTGCTTTGGAGAGTAGCGACGTATATAGATCGGATGTACAGGGTGAGCTGCGTGGAAGAGGCTAGATAATTGTATTAGCCAGCTATGGTGGTACGAGAAGATTTTTAGACGTAATTTTAACCCCTTTGCGCTTACATTATTCCCAATTTGACATGCAAGAACGATGGATTTTAGTCTTTTTTTTTTTAATTGTTTTCTAGGTGTGTAGAAATTAAGTTTCCCATTTATTTATAATGCTGTGACTTGCATTTTTGCAGTAGAATGGAAAGGATAGTACAATATGAGCAGTGAAAGAGAATAATTGAACAAAATTTCGCTTTTTGGAGGATTAGTTGTTCTCAATAAGATGGAAGAATCTTTTTGACGGAAGAAATGACAATAAATGAAAGGAACATTCGATTAAAAATTTTACACACCAATGTCTACTGCAACATATAGCAGAAGAAACATAGGCGACTTTAATAAAAAAACAAAAAAAGAATGGCATTTATAAAACAATTTTCTCGTACGACCATTGCTGTAGAAGATAATTAGACGACCCTTTTTTACATGACCCATCCTGTATAAATAAATACGCAGAGAGAAATTTTGTTTCGTTATAAGTTAAAATTTACCTCCTTCTTTCTTCACTTCTTTTACCACATTACGAGTATTGTATATTTTCTCGAATCTTCCGTAAATTCGGAGATGTGGTTTCCAATTTTAATAACGTTCGATCGTGAGATAACTTCGAAAATAAAATATTTTTTATCTACGATTATGACTAAAAGTCCCATTATAGGCGATACTGGAACGAAACGAAATCCTCTAAACGACCGTGCTGTAATCAACGATGACGTGTCAACCAGATATTCTTAACTTCCTGTGACTAATGTATTCAAACGTGGAATTTATCTCGAAGGCTCCCGTGATTGAATATCTCTCTCGACATACCCCGTACAATTTCATTGAAACTCTCTACGTGGATCGTTCTAATCGCAATGAACAAAAGTATTGTTGTAAATCCTGTTTTTATCTGTTCACAGCCTACGGCGGGGTCCGGGGGCTAACGTGCAAGACGCCAGTGGATATTCGGCCCTTCATCACGCAGCTCTGAACGGGCACAAGTATGTTGG